ACCCCTCCTTGGGTTTCCGAGGCAGTATCACTACGGAAGTAGGATTGCCCAACCTTCCTTCCGAGGAGTGGCTGATCAAAGGATTTTAAATAAAATCCATGATCAGAAAGGGAATGTATTAGAGTTCAAATTCTGAAGCACTTGGTTTGTGGAAGGCTGTGGTCTTCTTGAACCTGGGGTCTCTTTTCCCCTAATACATTGCTATTGAGTCGATTCCTACTCATGGTGACCCTGTGTGTGCAGAGTAGGACTGCTCCACAGGGTTTTCAGGCCTGTGACCTTTTGGAAGCAAATCACCAGACCTGTCTCCCAAGGAGTCACTGAGTGGGTTTGAACCACTAACCTTTTGGCTACTAGGGCAAAAAAAAAGAAAGAAAGAAAGAAAGAAAGAAAAAATGTGTCTATTTTCAGGCAAATAGGAAAAGACCAAGAAGCATTAGTTGGAAGAGAAGATTCTCTAGGGAGTGTAGGCTTTCTGCTTATATAAATCCCACTGTAAGTTAACAAAGAGCAGGAAAAATGCTAGGAAGAGTGAGTGAAATACCTACAAACTCTCAAAGGGGATTAACATTGATTTTCTGCTCTACCGGTCAGAAATCATCACAGTGAGCTTTTTGATGACTTAAACTACTTAAATCATCTGAATTAAGGACCTTCCTTGGTCTTCTCTTCTGGGTTTCTTTGGAAACAGACCTACCAACCAGATGGCATCTTGACCTTCGTGATGAACTGTACTGCTTAGTAAAGTGCTTTCACAGGCATTACGTCAGTTAAGTCTTACATTAACCCACCCACATTGGTGACATTTTCCCTATTTTACAATGATCAGTGGGAGGAAGTGAGTTACTCAAGATCATAAAGATCAAGTGTTGAATGGCAAGGCCAGGATCAGATCCAGGTCATTGGCTTTCAATCCAATGTTTTTTCTACTACTTGCCTTCAGATTTTGGGTGGGAGGCAGGGATATCAAGGAGACTAGGATCCTGGTTCTTTACTGGCAGGAGTTTTATTATGATTATTTTCTTTTGAACACTACAACAGATCATAGCTACCTTCTTCCTCCTCATCCATTTCCCTTCCTGATTTCCCTCAGTTTCTGTTCCCTTAGGCTGCTGTAAGAGGGCAGTAGGCTTAATGTCAAAAACCAAATCAAACCCACTGCCATTGAGAAGATTCCAAATCATAGCAGCCCCCACTAGGTTTCTGAGGGTGTAAATCTTTGCAGAAATAGATTGCCTCACCTTCCTTCCACGGAACAGCTAGTGGGTTTGAATCATCGACCTTCTGGTCAGTAGTCAAATGGCACTACTAGAGCTCCTTATGTCAGGAGATGGAAATTCTGGTCCTGGTCCTGCCACAGGAGGCTAGGTAGTCTCAGGTAAGTCACTTAAGCTCTCTGGCCTTCAGATATCTCATTGTTACTTCCAACTCTGTCTGATATTCTGAAAAAAAGGGAATCAGAATATCTAGTGGTTGATTTTGACATCTACATAGAGGAGTTTTCAGAATGTAGCCAGAACTTGAAGGGGTGGGAAAGGGTAGGCAAAAGGGAGATATTTCAAAAGGTTAAGAGAAAATAGACCTATGAGAGTCTGAAGTAGATATTTGGGGTGTGGAGTTGAAGTAGGCTGAGCACTTCCATTTATGACCCTCCTTGACCTTCCCTGATGTTTCAGAGGGAGCTTAAAGACTATGACTACTGCAAACTCAAATATTTTGCCTTTGCAGTTCTGTTTTGGTGAATTGAATGAGGATGCAAAACAGACTTGTGGGAAACACAGGATCATTAAATGTGGAAAACACAGGATCATTAAATGTAAGAATCTCTCATGTACATCTAACCCTAATTATTCTGAAGTGTCTGAATTCTGATGCCACTACACTGCTAAACAAATAATTTGCTGTCCTGTTACAATCTGAGCATCAAAAGTGTGTGAAAGTTAAACGTGGTCAAGGATTTTTTTTTTTTTTTAATGGATTGACATGGTAAGTTTGGTGGCTTTTTACTGCCTTCTAGAGTCCGGGAAATCTTTACCTACGTCATTCAAATAATTAATGTTTTTCACAGTTTTTAGGGGCAAGTGGGCCTCATTACTTTACAGTTGCCTATCTGTTTTCCTCTTCCAGGAAATTCACCAATACCTCTCCATCTCTGCTCCTACACTAAACCAAGCAAGTTAATCAGCAGTTATCATAAAGTCCAGCATCTCAGATGGAACACCAGAATCTAATTTCCAGACAGCACTTTGGAAACTTTGCTTCCAGAATAAGTGTAGCAGAACTATAAACACACAGATAGACAAATGAGGTGGTGCAGAGTAAGGTAAGAGAGGAAAAAAAAAAATAAATGATATTCCAGAACACCGAGAAGAGAGATTGGGAGATAGGGATGCAAAGAAATGAGAAGGCAGGAATAGTGAAGTGCTTTAGAGATTGATAAAATGGCGACTAACAAAATGAATTTTGTGATTTTTAAGTAAGCATTTTAAAAATGATTTGCAATAGAATGAAAAAATAAAGAATGCATAGCATGGAAGGATAAATAGTATCTTGGAAACATTTTTTCAGTATACATACCTGCATAAATGTATTTCTACATGTAATTATAATATCTATCACACACACACACACACACACACACACACACGCATTCATGCCCTGAGTTGTTTTGTAAACTCTTTGTAACTATGAGTGTTGGTCCAAAGTTTGAAAGTATGACCCAAATGGAGCCTGGGAAGATAGGTTCAAGGTCAAGTGACAGATCCCTCTTCTCTCCCTTTGAGGTCTAGAGGAGTTAAATGTCAGGAGAGGAAAAGGCGTGTAGGAGAAGGTCAGAACCGGGTAAGGTCAAGTGAGGAACAAGGGCGCATTAAGACACGGAGGTGTCTGACGCTTTCTGCCAGGATGGCCAATTGAGTGTTTGGGGTGGTTTGATTTTTGAGCGCTTCCCTCAAACCGAAAGAACTTGCGTGCTTCCGTCCCTACAAAGGTGAGGGATTTACTTTGCTCCAGAAGGTGACACCACATAGGGTAAATCTCTGTGGTAGAGGTTGTTATTATCAGGCCCGACCTGCGGGGAGGTAGGTGGGGCGTGGGAAGCGCGGGAAGGTCTAGCTCGGTGGGACCTCACAGCGACTCAAAGCCGTACTCTGCACAGCCCACCGAAGAACAAGTACTTCTGCACTCTGCGACCCAGCCACGATCGCAACTCCAGGGCGCTGGTGGGATGTGCCCTTTCCACGGGCCAGCCGGGCTCCCGGCCAATGGGCATCCCCCGCCCCCGCCGCCCGCTGGCTCTGCCGCTGGGTCTCCGGGCCCCCCACGTGACCCGCCTGCGCGGGCCGCCACCTCAGCCCCGCCCAGGCCCTGCCCCCGTGACGTTTGCCGCCCTCATTGTCAGAACAGCTCGCCTCTTTCTGCGCTCGCTCATTGGCCGTCCCAGCGGACAGCGCCCCCCTCAGCCACACCTCCGAAGCCAGGAGGAACGTTTTGGGGCGGTGCCTAGGCTGGAGGGGCGGGGTGAGAAGGCGCCGCGCGGGTAAAGGGGCTGCCGCTCTGAGCGGTCCGAGCATTCAGCCATCGCGCGCGGGTTCACACTGCGTCGCGGACGGCCCCTCCCCCTGACCGCCACCGTCACCCGGGAAACGGGCCACAATCGCCAGCGGATCCGAAGCTGGTTTCATGGCAGCTGCGAGGAAATCAGTTTTGGGGCCTTTGGTGGGGGCGGTGGACCAGGGTACCAGCTCCACGCGCTTTTTGGTGAGCCTGGGGTGACAACTGAGGAGGCGGGGGCCGGGGGATGGCCGGGCTGGGTGCGCGTGCCTCTTCTCCCTCCGTCCCCATCTGCTGGGCAAGGGAAGAAGGCCGCGGCCCTGAAGCGGGATGTGCCACATTGGGGCTGCCCCTCCTGGGGCCTGGGGGGGGGGGACGTCGGCGTCTCGCGACCCCCGAGGCTGGGCTGAGCCAACCGGGCCTTGGTGGTGGAGCTGAGTTACCTAATAATGGGGTGACTCCTCTGTCAAATGGAGCATCCACGCAGAGCGGCTGCCCATAGCCCGGGACAGGTGGCCACATTGACCGCTACTGCAGTCGTCCCCGGAACATTTGGCCTGCGGGGCACAGGACGTCCTTGGATGTGGGGGGGAAAGCTGTGTCACGGCCGTGGTAGCCTAACACAGCGTCCTGTGGAGCAGTAGAACGAATAAAGTATTAGCATGATGATGCCTTGTCATCCTCTTCCCGCAGAAATTGCAGAAGGGGGTGGCAGAACAAATTCGGAAACAGTCACACTACACGACTTTGGCCAGAATCTTTATTTAATTTCGAAGACTCGCGAATTTCAGTTCTGATGTTTTACCTCATTCAAACCGGTGGTTGTGGTCTCCGCACTTCACAGCACATTGTAACCAGGAGATTTCTGCTTCTGATATTTATGGTGTCTGGCAGCAGAGTTTTACCTTAAGGGAATGCTATTTAAGTGCCCGCTGGTGATTTATTTCTTTTGTACAGTTAGGAAACTTGCTGGTAAGTGATCCAGCGCTAAGTTCAGTGAAGTAATTTAAAAGTCTTTTAAATGAATGTTTGTGGGTAAGAGCCCATGCTTTCAATGGCCATTTAACTAACCTGTTAGTTGATTATTTGATTATTTAGCTCCCTCTTCACTTCTTTAAGGAGCTCTGGTGTATAGTGGTTAAGGCATTTGTGCTGCTAACCAAAAGGTCAGTGGTTCGAATCCACCAGCCACTCGGCAGAAGAAAGATGAGGCAGTCTTCCATAAAAATTTACAGCCTTGGAAACCCAGTGGTGCTCACTATGAGTCAGAGTCGACTGGATGGGAGTGAGTTTTGTTTTGTTTTTTCTCTTCTTTACCTCACATCTTTTGTGTGTGCATTATTTAGTGTGTATATATGTATGCGTGTGTCTGTGTATACACAATATATATATTATATACAATACTATACATACATAGGAGCTCTGGTGGCATAGTGCCTAAGGCATTTGACTGCTAACCAGAAGGCTGGTGGTTCAAACCCACCAGCCACTCTTGGGAAGGAAGGTTGGGCCATCTACTTCCATAGTGATACTGCCTCAGAACCCAAGAAGGGGTCACTATAAGTTGGCTGACTCTATGGCAGTGAGGTTTTTTAATTATTATTATTCAAATCTCTATTTAGTGAACCACTTGACTAAACTGTGTTTGTGCTTTGATCCTGATGCCTGTCTGTCTTGTCTAAAGTGTGAAGTTTTCAATCCAATTTTAGTTTGATTCTCATTTGATGACTTACACTGGTTTGAGCTGCCAAGACAGTTCTGCCATCTCTTCTTGCATTGTTTTATCTTTTGATCACCCAGGGCAGGTTTCACTCTGTTATATTCACATAAACATTGACAAAGTACTCCTGAATCATAAGTGAGAAAGTCTGCCTAACTGGATTTGATTAATATATAAAATATACAATTATCATCTTCCCAAATTAAGAAAGACCATTAAGACATATGTGGTAACTAGCTGTGTGTGGGTTGATTTTTAAAGCCATATTCAAAAATTGCCAACACAAATGCCTGCAGGGGCCAGGAAGGTAGAGGGGGTGGGGTGGCACACTGGAGAGCATGCCCAAGCCCAAGGGGACAGCTAATAGTTGCCAGGCAGGAACTCTGGGCCCATGCTACATTCTAACCTCAATGAACAGATCTTCAGATTATTTAGGAAAAGCTGGTAGTCTACATTTTTAGCAAACTCTCCAACTTTGTAAATGGTGGCAGCTGGTTCATGAAGCACTGTGGGGACTAAACCAGTTGTTTTCAAGTTTACAACCTGTACACTGTATGAAAGTGAATAGAGCATTTCGTAACTTTGTATAGGCTTCTTTTTAGGAGCCAGCCTTTCCATAGTTGTCTTTACTTTGACTCTTCACTATTGCTATTCATATTCATATTCTTTATCCACTGCAGGTTACTGGTCGCTCAGATCCTATTTATCCAAAAGGCAGCTTTCTACATGGATGGGCAAGGGATTTAACCCTTTCATATTACCACTATCAGTTATTCAGTGTGTAACATGAACAACATGAGCCTCCAAAAGTTGAGTTGCTTACTGGATTCTATATACTACGACATCAATGAGTAAGCTAAGGTGCAAATTCAGATTTCCATCCTGCTGATAGAATGATGAGAGCTCTGGTAGCATAGTGCCTAAGGCATTTGACTGCTAACCAGAAGGCTGGCAGTTCAAACCCACCAGCCACTCCTTGGAAGGAAGGTTGGGCAATCTATTTCTGTAGAGATACCACCCTGGAAACCCAGGGAGGGGTTGCTGTGAGTTAGCAACGACTCGATGGCAGTGAGTTTGGTTTTTGGCTTGGAAAGAATGATAGACGCTCTGGTGGCGCAGTGATTAAAGCATGTGGCTGCTAACCAGAAAGTCAGAGGTTCAAACCCAGCAGCTACTCTATGGGAGAAAGATGAGGCAGTCTGCTTCTGTAAATATTTACAGCCTTGGAAACCCTATGGGGCAGTTCTACTCTGCCCTATAAAGTCACTAGGAGTTGGAATAAACTGGGTAGCAATGAGGTTTGGTTTTTGGCTTTGATAGAATGATGTATAAAAGTTGATTGATAAAGTTGGGTGCTTCTTGAGAAACAGCTATTAAAGAATTCTTCAGAGGCAGATAGAAGATTTGGAGAGCCTGTGCAAAGTAGAGCAAAATTTGGGAATGGTTTAACAAGTTTTGTTTTCCCCCCTTATAAGAAAAGAGGTTGTTCACCCACTCCCTGCAAAATCTAGATAATAGATTTGCAGAATAAGTGCTTTAATCATAAGAGGATTCCCAGGAGTTATTCAGTCATATTGTTGTGCATTGTAATTATGACATAAGAAAATAATTGCTTGCCTTATCAGGAAAGACTACCATGGATAAGAACTGTCATAAGGAGGCTTATAAAGTTAAAGGTATTTAAATAATTTCCTGACTATTCATTAATTTGCATATTTCACAAGACTCCAAGCATTCTTCTCCCTTTTTCTCTGCTAGCAATATTAGCTTTCCCCTATAGGGGACCCAAGGTTTCTTTATTAGTGCTCTTTCACCCAAGGGGAATGCCTCTTCCCCATATCCCCATAACTGTTTCTTGAAATAGTGGCTCAACTGCCATCTCTCTTCTTACTAACAGTCTGTTTATTGAATATATTTTATTTTTCTTGAATAGAGCAATTGAGCTCTGGTGCATAGTGCCTAAGACATTTGACTTCTAACCAGAAGACTGGTGGTTCAAACCCACCAGCCCCTCTTCAGAAGGAAGATTGGGCAATCTTACTTCCGTAGAGATACCACCTCGGACACCCAAGGAAGGGTCGCTATGAGTTGGACCCAACTTGACAGCAGTGAGTTTGGTTTTGGTTTTGAGTTTTTTGTCCGGAAAAAAAAAAAAATCTTGAAACTTTCTGACATGCGTATGTTTGATTATTTAACCTCTTATATTATACTTTAGTGGTAAACCTGCAATTTTAGAACATGTTCATTTCTTCTTCAAGTTAAAGAATTAATCTTGGAACCCTCTGCAATATGCTTTGTACTAAATGAAAATTTCCAACTTGTTTGATAGGAAAATGAACTGAGGTTGGCACATGGTTACTCAGATTGCACACTATGAATTTCTTGGAAAGAGAATTAGTGTAACAGGTTTTAAGGAGGGGCCACTTCTTTTATAAGACCAAAGTTTCAGCTTGAACAGTCAACTTCCCTGTTCAATTTGGTAACTGTTTTTTTTTTTCCCTTCCCATTAACTTGAAAAATAAAAAAAAAAAAAAATAGAAATGTCTCAGGTACTGTATTGAAGACTTTTCTAGCATTATCTTATTTAATTCTTATAACAACTCTGATGTAGGTAGTATTATTAAGCTCCTTTTACATAAGTATTAGACTGAAGCTGAAGGTTGCGGCCAAGATCACATGGTAACTGGTGGAACCAGAATTCAAGTCCAGGTCTGTCACACTCTGAAGTCTTCTGTTCCCTAGCTGGAGTACTACAAGTGGGAGATGGGAGAATGGAGAAGGTCACCTACCCCCACCTACCAATTGTCAGTTCTGGTTATGGTCAAAACTGAATCTTTTTACATGTACACACACAGCACACATATGCACAAAATACTCACAATTTGGTTTCACAGCTGTTGGCTTTGAATAAGTACTGTTGGTTATGATCACCTTGTGACTCAGAGTTAGTGGGTCCAGGGCAGGGCTCAGGTGTAGTCACTGTGGATAATGGTTGCATAACCATTTTGTTCAACAGCAAGGATATATGAAGAATGACTGGAATTGTACTTCTGTGCTTGTTTTGGCTGCAAACATTGCCTTGGCCCCAGTTGTCTCATCATACTTAGAGATCTCATAGATTTATGGATGTATTTCCTCTTTCTTTATTTATTCAACGCATGTTTATTAATCACCCATTATGTGCCAGGCACTAATGAACAGTAAGTCTGGTCAAACTAATTTGAATTAGAGCTAGAATGATGTCACCCTTGTGATGATAACTATAGTTGTGATTCTTTGGGTTTTTTCCCCCAACTAATTTGACTTGCCTATCACATTACACAAGCAGCATGCACAACACAATTTCATATGAGTTGCCACCCTCTCTTGTTCTCTTGTCTCTCAAGTCTTAAGAGTTTTCAATTGTGAGCTCTTTGAGAGACAGAATAGTGTTTTTTTTTTTTCCTTCCCCAAAGCCTTACACAGCATCTGGCATGAGGTAGATGCT